CACTCAGCAAACCTTGTTGTGCCGATTTCCAATCACTGATGTAGGTGGCCGGTGCTGCGAATGGAAAGTCAGGTTTTGCAGTTGCTGGGTGGAGAATTGACCTCAAAGTGCGATCAACTCTCTTGGCGTGAATCCTCCGAGTGAAACAATGTGGACTAGTCACTCCGGGGGACCGTTTGTCGTACTTTGCTCGGCCCGTGTACGGAATAGAAACCCAGTCCATCTTGATACCGATCGGAACTTCAAATTCAAATAGTCGCATCAGTTCCTTTGCATAAGCTGAGAAGTTGACTTCTGCAGGAATAAACGAGCATGATCCTATCTTCACAATTTCTCCATACTGCAAGGGAGAAGGGTAGCACCCAGCGCCTCTCCCCAATTGACGTAAGCCGGTATGAAGATAGTCTTGGACGGCCTCGACCGAGGCCTCAGCCGAGAAGCCGACGCGAATGCGTGTGCTAGTTTCTTCTCGCCCGGCTTGCTGTTGGCTGCCGCGTAGGGACAGTTACCATATTCCATATCACAGTAAGTCGACAGAGCGCGATAAGTCGAAATGCGATTACGTAATTCTACTGAGTTTCGAATCCAGAGATTCAATTGCTTATATGTGGTATCAGAGATCGGAAGAAGCTTCAATTCATTAGGGGAATTGTTGATGGCTTCCTCCATGGACGTTAGAACTGTTGACAAGAGCGCCTCCGCCACAGTTCCTGAATCCGACCCTTGATAGTCCACGGAGAAAGTTGTCTCAAAGATGTGACACTTGCCTGGTATCCCTTCCATGTTCACCTGAATGAGGTTCGAGATCCGTTCGGCCAGTGTTGGGGGGCGTTGAACGCGAGAAGGAGTTGATTCCGAGGGCTCCATAAAGGTCCCTGTACCTGCTGAGTCTTGTTTTGCCTTAAGTTTAGAAGAAGTCAACGGTAGAGTGTTGTCGTCCATGGCCTCATCATGTGGGTTCGCCCCAGCGGTAGTGACCCGTTCGTCATCCTCGTCTTCCTCCATTGCGTCGTCCACAATGTTCTCCCTGTCGTCAGTGTCGTCATCTTCAGTGTCTTCAGCCGACAACTCAGGCGCCTTGGGGGCATTCTTTTTCACCGCCACCACTTCAACCTCGTCAAAGTCCTGAATTCCACTACCTTCAAACGAATCATCATCACTTTGTAGAGGTGCAAAGCGATTTGGATTTTGCACCTGGTCCCCTTCGGAGCTGGTGGATTCGCGTTGAACATCCGTGCCCGGTTCATCAATAGAATACATCGGATCGTATATTTTTTGGATACAAGGAGGATCCGGTTCCTTCACTGATTCTCGATTTGGAGCATTGTTAATAGACTTCCCACTTCTTGTTTGTTTGATTGCGTCAACAATTGCGGATGGCGGGTCATCGTAATACTCCACCAGAAACTCATTAATCCAAGGATAATCAAACAACTTGGAGCAAATTAACCAAAAGCCCACCAAGGGATGCTCCAAGCGGAGCCGTGGATTGGACATTTCGCCGGAGAAGAATTGGTTGTCGTCCGGTTTGCCCTCAAACTCATCAATACCGAAAAAGGAAAATGGATTTTGTAAAGAAATCTGCATGGCCAAAATGCGTAAAGACCAGATTTCTTCAGACGGATTCACTTCCATCGTTTCAGTATCAAATGCCGCAATTAGGTACTGTGTCAATTGACTATTATCTGAATTCATCGATGTGAAAATGCGAGAGAAACGGTCTTCACAAGTTGTTGTCCCGGTATTGTCGTTAAACGGATCGTCATACCGGAGGCAGGGTTGGTTCCAAGCAGCAGGAAAACGTTCTTCCCATGCCATAAAAAGCTCGTTACCCGTATGGATACGGTCATGACGTTCCAATGCTTCGTCGACAGCATCTCCTGAATATAAATTCTTCATCCACCACTCTGACAGGTTTGGAACAATGCTGTCGTAATGTCCACTCCTGCGAGCTTCTCGTTCGGCGATTCGTTTCGACTCAATCTCATCAGCCATGCGTTGCGCTTCATTGTCGTCCATAACACGCTTCTCGTCAGTTTGGGTTTCAGATACCATCTTGGAATCGATGGGATCCCTGTCTTTAGGCTGTTGTAGGTCAATTTCCACTCGTTTCTTGACGGACTTTTTAGCCACAGGGGTTGTTTTCATCTTAGACACGCCCGACTTTTTTGTCATCGCCGAGGATGCCTTCGCGTTGATAGATTTGCCCATGGTGCGCCGGTGTTGAATGGTTGGCTTGGTGATATATTCGAAGTTTTCTACGTAAATTCAGTACTAGCGCTACGCAAGGCAGACTGGTTGGTTCTGCCGGAATGCATGTTGTTTTGTTTCTGAAATAATTTTTTCTATATTCCCAATCTGTTGGAAACATAGATTGTGCTGTGCTTCAAGGATAGCTTTACTGTCTTTAGTACTGCGACTTCCTTCTTTGGTACAAATATCAGATTTTAACTTGTTCTTCAATGGTTTCAATTCTCTCTCTCAATGATTGCGTCTTGTTGCAACTTGATTCTTGTTCTTATTGGCAGAACTGCCACTCCTGCTCCAAGGCCATTCTCTTGGTTTCTTTGGAACTTGAGAAAGGTTCAGCCCAGACATTGCAGCTTGCGCATACGTTTGTCCAGATCAAGTGACTTTTGCTACTTGAGGCTCTTCAGGCTCAAATACAATCTCTTCTTTTGGCGGCTCTTGTAAGTCCTCCAGATCAGTAACGAGGCTCCCAATATCATCGGTTCCTCTATCAACATTTTCTTGATGGTGATTCAAATCAGCCACAATAGGTTCTTCCTCTTCATCGCCTTCATCACCCAAATCTTCATCTGATTCATAGTCATCATCTCCTTGGAATCTGACAGTGAGTTCTGGCATATCATCAACATCATTGTCTGCATCTGCCAAGAGCTCTTCTCTTTCGGAGTCATCGATATCATCAAATTGTCCACGTAGGTTGAAATCACGTTCATCTTCATCTTCAGGTTCATAGTCCTGATCAAAGACTTCTTCTAAGTAACCTTGTTCTGCGCCGGTGTTGAATGGTTGGCTTGGTGATAAATTCGAAAGTTTTCTACGTAAATTCAGTACTAGCACTACACGAGGCAGACTGGTTGGTTCTGCCGGAATGCGTGTTGTTTCGTTTCTGAAATAATTTTTTCTATCCACACACACCCATCACTATGCATCACCAACGTCCCGCTCCAGTCCTTTCACCACAAAGTCTACTACAATGACCACACCCCTACAACCTTGTATACAAAACAAAGCCCCTTTGGTGCTTTCAGCAGGGTCTCGACAACAAAGCGCCCATGTATCCAAAACAGATCCTTCTCCCTGTCATCAAGCAACTGAACAAGACCGGGCTTTTTGGATTGCGGCCAGTTAAATAGAGTTGCGGAGCAAACCAAAAAACAAAAGTTGCCAAAGCGGTAGGAGCTGTAACGAGAATGCTACAAATTTGGGTGCAAAAATCCAAAGCCTTGGCAAACCAGCGTTAATTGGACCAGAGAGTGTCCGTCATTCGTACGTATATAGTTTAACCTAGAGATTAACACACATCTTGTAAAATCCCCATGTTTGTCATCGTACTCGTTTTTGTCCCAAATCTCTCGTACCTTGCTACTTAATATAACGGTTTATCAGACCCAAGCAATCCACAATGGATAGAGGAGCCTGGGAAGGCTTTCAAATAATATCTGTTTGAGGAAATCGCCTCATTCAGCCATGGTTAGGATCACCATTGTCGTATTGATCTTGTGATTTTTTCATGCCACAATTTCGGCGTTTGGATGCGCACCGAAGGCTAATCACGTCGCAGCGTTAACTAAATTGTTTGCTAGCGAAGGCTAAACGGCAGACGTGCCATGCGTGCAACCATCTGTGCCACGTTTATATACAGCTCTCAATATGAGATGCTTCGACATTTAGGGCTAAATTATTTGAAGTTACCAGATATCACCAACGTTCGCCTTCTGGTGATTCTCTCCAGTGATTTCTGACTTCAAGTCCGACACTCTTTTGACCTGAAACAAACAACACATCAAAAACAACAAAATCGTCAATCACAATGGCTGCTGTTATCCAATTTTGTAACTGGTGCGAAACCAATCTCCTTATTTGACCTGCCCTTGTGCAACACATGACTGACGTTGAAGGTCTTGACTCTGTTGACTCCTTCGCCAACAGAACAACTTCTCAAGTTTGTGAAGACATCAAATCTATGCAAAGAGCTCCAGATCCCAACAATGCAAATGCAACTATCGGAGTCACCGCTCGCGAATCGATGACAATTCATTGTATCTCCAAATATGGGAAGCTCCTCATTTTGGTCCAAAGAACCCACACTCCAGCTCTTGGAACCATCCCAAACCTTCTTTTTATTGGTCAATTCTATGATGAAAATCCGGATCTCATGGAAGGGGACTCCTACCCACTTCCTCCTCATCCTCCAAAGTTCAACAATCGCGATGGCCGAATCATGATGGAAAACATTGAGAGTTGGGCTCGTACTGCCTATGGATATCGTGGAATTTGCCTTGATTACGTTTTCCGTGAGAATTCTGAACTTCCAGTTGCTGGTGACCCTGGATTCCTTTGAGCCAACGCCGGCTCTCGCTCCATCAAAGAAGAACTTGTCTGACGTGCTGCCCATACTGGTGCTGTGTTCCGTCGCAACAACCAGAAAAGTGGAAAGCTTCTATGCAAATCAGATTATTGAAGGGATAATGATGAATGTCGATGATGAAGGTAACACGATGTACCGGATTCGCAAATTTATTGATCATCAATGTGATGGACGAGCAGTTAAAGGGGACGACGGATGGTATACTACCTCCAACGGTCTCAAGCGTCCACGAAAGACAACTAAAGGATGGAAATTGTTAGCTGAAATGAAAGGTGGAGAAACCAAATGGCTTGATCTATCAGTAGCAAAAGAAGCGTATCCTATTGAGGTTGCTGAATATGCTGTTGCAAACAAGCTTGTGTCAGAGCCTGCCTTTGCGTGGTGGGTTCCCTACACTCTGAGAAAGCGTGATCAAGTTTTGAAAGCTGTTAAGCGCCGTGCTGTGAAAAGGCAGAAACCAGAAATTTTTGGTATTGAAGTGCCTGGTCCTGGGCCAAAAGGTGTCGCACGTGCGTATGAACTTGATGCTGAGAATGGTACCTCGCATTGGAATGATGCTTTGATCAAAGAGGTCAAGACAATTCTGCCAGCTTTGCAGATTCTGGAAGAAGATGAAGATGTTCCCGTTGGATATCAGCTCATTGAGCTTATGACTGTCTTTGATGTCAAGATGGATCTCACACGGAAGGCACGCATATGTGCTATTGGGGACCAGACTGACCCTCCAATGTCTGTCACCTATGCAAGTGTTGTGACAAGGGAAAGTATTCGACTTGCTTTTGTTATTGCTGCTTTGAATGGTTTGAATGTTTTGAGTGCTGACGTCTCGGGTGCATATCTGAATGCCAAATGTGCCAAGAAAGTGTATTGTATTTTAGGGAAGGAGTTTGGAGAGTATGCCGGGAAGAAAGCTATCCTGGTTAAGGCCTTTTACAGACTCAAAAGTTTGGGATTCGCATGGAGAATTCTCTGTGCAGACGTTTCGAAGGAACAATTGGAGTTCCAACCATGTCGCGGAGATATGGATGTTTGGCGTCGTTCTTGTCAACGCAAAGATGGTTCAAAGTGTTATGAGTATATTTTAGTCTATACTGATGATGTCATTGCAATTTCGGAGAATCCAAAAGCTATTATGGACAAGTTGTCAAGAAGCGAATTGCGCCGATGCAACTGACTTTGAAGAAAAAGGTTTATTCAACTTTACCCACTGGATACAAGCCGGAACTTGATTCTACTCCTTTTGTCAATGATGATACTGCCATACTTTACATGCAGCTCATTGGTATTCTGCGCTGGCTTGTGGAACTTGGTCGTATCGATGTTGCCGCCAAAGTGTCTATGCTCTCATCTTACAATGCAATGCCTCGTGAAGGTCACTTTCATGCTGCCTTACATATTTTTGCCTATTTACAGAAGCATCCTGATCGTATACTTGTGATGGATTGTGGTTATGCTGATCATCTGAGACCATTAAAGAAAGCTGATTACTCACAGTTCTATGAATTCACTAAGGATGAACTCCCAAGTGACATGCCTACACCTCTTGGCAAAGCGGTAGAGTTTACTATGTTTGTTGATGCATCTCATGCTGCTAACGTTGTTACTCGTCAATCAAGAACAGGAGTATTGATCTTTGTTAACAAAGCTCCTATTATCTGGTATTTGAAAACTCAGAACAGTGTCGAGACAAGCAGTTTTGGTTCTGAGTTTTCTGCTCTAAAGACAGGTGTTGAATTACTTGAGGGACTACAATTCAAGCTCAGAATGATGGGCATCCCAATCCAAGGTTATTGTCATACTTGTGTTGACAACATGTCCGTTGTCAAGAACTCAAGTGTTCCTGAATCTCAATTGAAAAAGAAATCGAATGCTGTCGCATATCACTACGTTCGCTCTAGATGCGCAATTGATATCCTACAAATTGAATGGATCAATTCCGCTGAGAACTTGGCCGATGTTTTAACCAAGATCCAACCTGGACCTGTTCGTGACCGTCTTATTGAACACATCATGTGGAAAGCAAAGCAAAATGGAAAACTTGCTCTTTTGATTTAATTTTTGGAAACGTCTTCATCCGTCGCCGGATATTGTCAGTCTTGGACAGTATTGGATGATACGTCCTCCCAAGAGGGGGTACGGTTGATATTAGCCCAATTCGGAGTACAAGGTTCTCTGATACATCAGTATCACCTTGAGGGGACCGTTAATTGGACCAGAGAGTGTCTGTCATTTGTACGTATATAGTTTAACCTAGAGATTTGCACACATCTTGTAAAATCCCCATGTTTGTCATCGTACTCGTTTTGGTCCCGAATCTCTCGTACCTCGCTACTCAATATAATGCCAGCACCATCTTCAATGGATTCTACAAACCAGATTTTGCTGATGTATTGTGCCATCCCACGGGGGATGGTAAAACCCTCTATGTGTATTGACGACGCAAATTTTGAAAGCTCGCATGCGAATGATGATCTGTGGTCTTGGATTCAACAAATTTAAAGTAACTAATACATGTAATAAATACTTGTTTACTGTAAAGTCAGACCTACAGTAAGATTGCAGTGGTCTTGCCTTTTCTTTCCAAAACCTTTGAATTTACGAACACTACTTTGGTAGTAATGCGTAGTAATCCAAAGAGAACTTCAATTTTTTCCCAGTTTTTTTTCCTTGTTTGACCTGGGACTCATCTTGATCATCATAACATTCTGCAAATTCACCAACCACGCCTACAATTGGGTTGTTGCTAGGGGGTGCGTTATCTTTGGTAAGCGGGTGATACATCCCGATTGTATCATCCAACAAACCCTACATTGCGATTCTGCTGGTCAACATCCCAAAAAAGACTATCTTGCAATTCTGGTCCATCAACTGAAGCATCCACCTGCAATTCACCTGCTTCTAGAATCTATTTGTCTGCTTCTTCATTTTATCCGCCGTCGACACCAGAAGTTTTCCATTCCTTCTCAGCCTTGTGTTTGGCCTTTGCCAGTCGAATCATATTGTTAGCATGGCACCACATTTCTTTATGAAGTCGTAGCACGGAGGTGGTTTGTTACCATAAGCCTCGGGGGGTGAGACAACAACTGGAATTGACCTGGTTGTGTGATAATACCAGTAGTTATGCAATAAAGCTTTTATTTTAGACGCAATTGACCCAATCTCAAATCTGGCAAAAATGTAGGGCATGTTTGGGGGTTTGCGTTCACAGGCTCTCGCTCGTTTACGTTTGATCAACAGATGGTATAGGACATTTATCTTGTTTACTCCAAAACTGATGGTCCTGACCAAGCAGCTGTGCTCCTTCTATTGTCACCATCATCCCACAAGCTCCGGTGTGGTGCTGTGACCTTGTTTACCGTGAATGCAAATGAAGGCTACCGTGCTATTGCACACGCATGCAATGGTTCGTGTCCGTAAGTGAACGGGATCGGCCTTCGCGGAAGCCTGTCGATGAAACAATGATAACCACACTCTTTTTAAGAATACAATTCGATCTACATTACTATCTTTAACATCTACTACTTTGTAAGTCAACACCCTCGTAATAACATAACAATTACATTTATATGGTTTATCAGATCCAGCAATAACTGCCAAAAGTTATCCAACAAACAAAACGAAAATGAATGCGTTTGAAATGTATTGAAATGAATTGAAATGTATTGAAATGTATCGAAATGTATCGAAATGCAATGCCATCAAACGTTATGAATGTGATAATGAACATGATCACAAATACGAAATGACATCAAATGTTATGAACATTATGATGAACGGTGCTGAGCAACACCAACAAAAACTGTCACAAATGATGGTGCTGAGCAACACCAACGAAAACTGCCACGAATGGTGCTGAGCAACACCAACGAAAACTGCCACGAATTGTGCTGAACAACACCAACAAAAACTGTTCGAATCGTGCTGAACAACACCAACAAAAACTGTTACAAATGAAAAGAAATGTGAACTAACAACTTGATGTATGACATTGATACAGGCAACATGGCCGCGTTCCTCCTTTCTTCACTGTACACGACGACATGGTCATCTGTGGCATTGACAATGTCACCCTCTTCCAAGGACGCACACAAGCCGAGAGAATTGCTTACAAAATATTCTCGGACGATTTCACCACAACAATGGACAGCACCATTGACAAACTAAACAAAGAGTTCAAGACCCTTGCAGGATTGACGATTGCGCAAGGACAGATACGCTTGATGCCAGCTATCAAAAAGAACATCCGTGCATTCATCCAATGGTGCAGAGACGAGATTCGCATGGGACGAGACCCTACCACAACGCCATTCCCCGTCGTTGATGCAGCCAAACTGCTCAGACGCATGAAAACACACGAACAATACGTGTATGGCTCCAAGTTGATGTCGCAACAAGCACTACCACAAGATTTCACCAACAATGTCCAATGGGAAGATTGGTGCCCAACGTTCGAAAATTACCTTCGCACCATACCAGGAAGAGACGGTGTGCCACTAAGCTACATTGTGAGGATGAACAATACAGGAATGCCCACCCTGCACAAAGATTTCTTGGAAACCTACGTCAACATGGCACCACACGTTGGCGAAGCATATGTCATGGATAACGCCAAAGTCCTAGTCCTTCTCAGCAAGTTTATTGTGGGGAATACCAAAGCTGAAGCGACTCTCCAAGCCATCAACATTGCAGGCAATGGAAGAGAAGCATTCAACGCACTACGTACCCACTACAAAGGCGAAGGAATAATAGCCAGCGACATTGTCGAAGCTGAACACACCATCAAAGAACTGTGTTACGTTGGCGAAAAACCAAAATTGAACTGGTCCATGTTTGAACGAATGTTAAAGAAAGTGTATGCAACATGCGACAAACATGAGGGGACAGAAGTCCATTCAGACGCAATGAAACTGCGTAGCCTACAAAACAAGGTTACAGCACCATTCCTACAACTGAACAAGACGGCAATCAATACGGAAATTGGCAAAAGACCAATGTTGATGACTTTCACGACAGCATTGCAAATCTACTGAACTGCAGTGAGAGAAAAGTTTCCCCAGGGAACCAGCAATGCAACCGATAGGGGACGATACTTGGGCGAAACTAGGGCTGACAACGATCGCGACAGAAGCAGAAGCCAAAATGATGGAGGAGGCAACAAACGTCGCAACAAAGAAGAAATTACTCTGAGTAATGGAGAGAAGATCTGGTACCATCCTAGCTACCTTTTCTCTCGGACACACCTGCAAGCGTTTACCAACAAGCAACGTGAGCGTATGGCGAAGGAAAGAGCCGCATACAGAGAAAGTCAAGGATTACCAGCAAGAAGGGCAACGGGACAAGCCGCACAAACGCAACAAGTGGAAACGCAGCTGGCGGAATTGCAAGCCGAAGTAGCATCGATTAGATCCAACAACGTACCTGCTACCATCCCAGCCAAAGCAGCCACGCAGATATCACAAGTGACTATGGGAACGACTGGAACTACAGCAATGGGCGGATGCAACCAACAGGCAAACAACCAACAGGCAAGCGGTAGAACCTGAAACGCGATAAGTGAGATCAGACAAATTGCAAGGGCGATCTCATCCAACACAGCCGCATCCCAGCGACCAGTGCAACAACCAACACCAATAATAATAATAACTGAAACATTAATCGATTAAATGCTAGATAGCGCATATGATTGCCGGTGGAATGATCGGCTGTAAAGGTCAAGTACTGTGGAGCGGCGAGTCAACAACAAGTTTGAACCATGTGAGGCGTCTGATAATCAGAAGTTGCTCTAGTCAGAACCAGATGGTTCGGACTCTACCCGCAACGTGGCGGGGTGATTTTGGGGCGTTGCTTCCACAAAACATTGTTCAAGAGGAGTGGTCCGCAGGGTGGAAGGAGCAATGACGAATACGGCGTTGGGGCGCCAAAGCGCGGCGGTAGGCCGTGCGTTCCATCCTCACCAGCTTCAACCACTCTTCATGATCTACCAGTGGTTTGTGCAAGACTGTCCGGCACTTGACCGACAGCATGCGTTGGACAACCTTAGGGAGGTCAGTTGGACCCATATCAAACTGGTTGTGTATCCCGTCATTGACCTGTTGGCTGCGCTCTTGTAACTGTACATTCTCCTCCAAGTGTTGTACCGAGTTCCGATGTTCCCACAACTGGAAGCCCAGCAAAATCAACTGATGCAAGAGGCGTGAGGCCCATAAGGTCGGAGAGCGTTGGCTCCCGCGCGACTGCAGATATTCCTCCTGCAACGGGGCCCATTGGCGGGACAATCTTCCTTCCAATAGCCCTTGGTAGCCAATGCATTGCTGGGATCGGAAGGCGCTGCGCAGTTGACCTGGTACCACTTGGATGGACGGTAGGGATGGATCGCGAACCCCTTAAATGGGGGAGAGGAGGGCATGTTTGATGGCCGGATCTGTCACTTGTGTTTCCAGCCATGAATCCAGGGCCACTATCCGGCGATCCCATTCAGCGCTGGTGGATGGAGCCATACATCGAGGTACGTGTAGGTGATCTTCAAACTCGCCATAGCATGGGCATGCAGAAGAGGTGTCATATCCCCATCGCACCTTAAACTTGCCAACACCGCACATACCCACCATGTGCTTTGTGGTCCAGCGTTGAACGCCCGCTGGGAGAGATCGCATGGCCCAGGCCAGACTGGTCCAGTCGGTTTTCGACTCCGCCTCTGGGGTGACTGTGAGTTTCTCGCGCCACCAGCTCTTGGATGTAGTCTGGGTCCAATCGAGACTGCTTAACGTCCCCGATATAGACAGCGGCCAACTCAGTAAAGAAGCGAGCATTGGGTGCAATCAGTTGGTTAGAAGCCTCCAACTGATGGCAGTATGCCACTGCCCAATTATCCACTTCAACATTCCTTTTGGACCACCAAGACAGGGACGAAAAGGACGTAGCATGGTGAAGGTGACCATACACATGACTAGGCTCCCACAAGGCTTTGGAGCGCGCAAGGGCCTCGCGGAGGGAAGAGACCAGGTCAAACTGCGCCTGTTGGGGAGTGACTCGATTATCGCTAAAGGTATTGAGAAGGGCGGAAAACCCATCGCACGCAATCCTTACGCGGGGTTTCAATTGGAGCGTCGGCGCCCACTGGTGTAGCAACCAGTCAACAACCATGATGCCGGCGAGCAGGCCGATCAGTTCACTCCGATAGGCGCTTTGGTCCTGGGGCAATCCGGGAGTCTGGCACCGAACAATGATGCGGTCCTTCTCCCCTTTTCTTGGGAGTAGTTGTACAGCCGCCGTTCCCAGGTCTCGCTTGTATGATCCGTCGCTTATCACGCAGAGGTGGCCAGACAGTAAGGCCTCC